GTGCCGTATCTAATTTGGCTTGTATGTACGTTGCAGTCTTACACATCTTCCATCTTACGCGTACATCAGGCGTACGTGACCGAGATGGAGTCGAGCCATGGGATTGAGGGGTGCGTGAGATAATGTAAGATCTCGGACGACGGAAGACCTATATAATATGACGTCTAGATCGTATGGTTATCAATGAGAGAGAGAGTAAGATCTTAGACGATGAAAGACTCATATGAAACGGTGTCAAGATAAAACGGCTATGAAAGAGAGATATTCCACCACAAATTATTTCCTCTTTTATAGTGTGATTATTTTATAGTGTGATGATGATAATGATACTGCCTAGATAAAGTATAGCTATGCTTATACGGCGGAGGAGCTGGCACGATCCCGTTCGCACATCGATATCCACCCGTCCGCCGGTCAGTGCATACGCCATTATTCTCTTACCGTGCAGCGCACCTGGTCCCGATCGATTTCCACAACTCCACGACATTCGGCGGTACAAATCTGCAGTTTCACCGGGGCACGTAATAAATAAAAACAAAGGCTCGGGGTGACGTGCACGGCTGACAGCCCGGGCAAATCGTCCATTCGCTCTGCGCCTCTGCCTCCGCGAAATTTGACGGGTCGCTATGACTATGGTTGCCATACAAGTCATCAGTCTCGACCAATAATTTGCAGCTCCAAAAAGTCTGACAAAATTCAACGCGAATCTGCAAGCCAGTCTTCGATTGAGCCAGAAAATAGTGTACTCATGAAGCGATCTACGTCGTATATCTACTTTACTATACTAGTCTATATCAACCTATGCAGCTATACTCATACACAGATTAGATCCTAATAAGATATAGAAATATATACGACCAATCAAAATTAATTGTTACTCTTTGTTTGTTCTTTTTAATACAAATATACACATACATACCCGTACCGTACTTTATAAGCTCTATTCAATTGTAGTAAACTTATATATGTCTTCTTCGCCCTTATCCACAGAGTTTTCCCCCTCGCCATCGCACATCCTTGTATTTTCAAAATATGGCATGTCTTCTTGCATACCGTATCTGGTGACATCTATCATGAATCTATATTTTAACTTTCGAATTTTGATCTTATTAGTTGCAACAATTTTTTATCCATAGGTCAAGCAGAAATTTCTTGTGCTTATTGTACATTTTAGTCAAAACTCTTACTGTGTATTTTTTATTAAAAGTGTTTTAGTTCTAGATTGTAATATTAATTACGACAATGACGTAAACGGTCATTTAAACATGTACCATGGCACTCAAGATCATTAGTGGAGCTTGAAGTAAGAACTAAGATGAGGCAACAAGCTAACTATATATTAATATTATGCCTAACTACCATTGCTTACTCGATGGTACATTTGGTCCACACTAATATTTTCTACTGCTCAATATGTTGAATTTTCTCTATCAACAAAGTGTATGTGTAGTTATTTTTCTTAAAGAAAATATGGCACTTACAATTGCACTATCAATATAGATATATCATAATGTTACCGTCAAAATATGTATAAATTGATCTAAAGTAATAATTTACGCAATTCGTTATCTTGATATAATTTAAAAATGATTTGCTAGTTTCATTGGTATGTGAATCGTGAAGGGGGCAATTTTCATGTTTTCTAAAACACAAAGGCTCCTGCATGTTTCTATACTTGATATGTATGATGGCACAACATGTATGTTTACTTTTGGTTAATTTTATATACATATTAATATTGATATAAGTGGGTGATTTAAGAAACATATATAACATACTTTATGGTTAATCAAAACATTTTATAATAGTATATATTGGTAATTTAGATGTAACTTTAAGTAGATATTTCTGTTTATTTTTAATATGGCAGAAGAAACTTTTTAATTTAGAAGAAAATTCAAGTGGTTACTTATTATGGTTGTGGTAGCGTGGGTAATTTAGATATTACTTTAGATTATGCTTGATAACAGTAATTGGATAATTTAGATACATATTTAAGGGGTTACCTTATGTTTTTTCCTATAATAAGGTATTTGAGTAATTTTTAAAAACATAATAGATACATTATATTACCTATAGTTATTAATGGTGATTAAGGACTACCAAATTAACCATATTTTTTATTTTCTGAGAATATTTTAAATTTATTTTTAGCGTGTTTCGTGACCATTAACATGTAGGTTCTGTATAGGATAGGAGATCCCTGATACTATTGAGTTACACGTCTCCAATTATGCTAAATGAAACAAAAAACTGACATGGTTCTCTTTTTTTCAGTTATAGGACTTGAATCATAGAAACAAAGTACAATATATTTGATTAGCTAACATACTGTTGTCTAAAGCAAGTTATAAGCTTCAGCTGGTGTCCATTTTATGTGCACATATCTAACAGATGGACATACTTGTAACTTACAATATAATGCAAAAGGTGGCAGGGAAATGTCAGCAATTCACTACATGCTCGGAATAATATAGGAGATAGCAACATTTATTTTATATATTTTACTTAATTTTAATAGTCAGGATTTAAACTAGAGACCTTTGGTCTTAATACAAAAAATGAGTTGCATGCTACTATCCATTCAACTTAATAACTTAAGGTGATAGGAAAATGTGATCAATTCACTTATACTTCAAGATTCTCTATATAGCCTATTTCAAGGTATGCTACTTTGCCGATTTGTAGATAAAAAAGGTTACTCTATCTGTGTCGAGGAGAAATACTAGGGTACCCAAAGAGAAGCAGCTAATGGTCATCAACATTGATTCATCCGAGCAGTTAAGAGCGCGACTACAGCTCGAACCGACTCCCTGACGACGTGGTTCAAAAAGAGCACCGGATCTTGTTGGCCATTTAATGGCTCGATTGACCTCTCGAGGAAGGTTCCTGGCCGCTGCCGCCCGACCCTCGAGGGAGGAGGCTCACTGTGACGAAAATCAGCCTCTGAACTGAAATTGTCTGGGGACGGGCTCCGCTAAAAGCTCTAGTTTGGTTTTGGTGAATTGATGAAACCCTAAGTGCTAACCTAGTTTATCAAAGTGATTATGAGATAGGTAGCACTACTCCAAGTGGTGAAGCAAATGAAGATCGTGACATGATGATGGTGATGCCATGGTGATGATCAGTGCTTGGACTTGAAAAAGAAGAAAGAGAAAAACAAAAAGCTCAAGGCAAAGGTGAAATTGATATGAGCTTTTTGGTTTAGTGATCGAGACACTTAGCGAGTGTGATCACATTTATGATTGATAGCCGTACTGTTAAGAGGGGTGAAACTCGTATCAAAATACGGTTATCAAAGTGCCACTAGATGTTCTAACTCATTGCATATGCATTTAGGATCTAGTGAAGTGCTAACACCCTTGAAAATATTTATGAAAATATGCTAACACATATGCACAAGGTGATACACTTAGTGGTTCGCATATTTGAGCAAGGGTGGACAGGTTGGTGAAGTGAAGGAGGCGATAGTCACTGAAAAACGTTGACCGAACGGCGATCACGTGGTGACCGAACTCGGGCTAGCAGCGTCCGGTCATTTATAAAATTAGTGGTGTGCTCGGGCTATTCAGTGGTTGTTTGAGGGACCGGACGCAGTGAGGGCCAAAAAAGATGGTCTGACTGAGAACATACAAATTTTAAATTTGAACAGGGACAAAGAATTGTTGTATGTGATAGACTTGGATAGTTATTTCACCCGAGACATTGAACTGGCGACATGCAGAGAAGAGAAAGAGGAGGAGCGGACGATCATAGCTATTGTAGTGCGTCTGGTCATGGTGGACCAAATAAGCAGCGTTAAAATATTTTGGTCGTGTTACTTTTACTCTCTCTCGAACCTCCGCCCTGAAATCGTAAATGAACGGACTCATTAGAGGTTGCGTAGCAGGCGTCCAATCATCCTCACGTTTAGTGCGTGTCTAGTCGTCATTTAAGTATTACTTTAAGTTTTAACCGTTGAGATCCGGCGCGGAGGAGTACTCGATTTGAAAGCTGGTTATTGCTTTATGAAATAAGATGATCCGCTGACCCATGACTTGGTTAATGACCGGAGGATTTTTTGCACGGCTGGTAGGGTGCGTCTTGGTCAATCCAACGAAAGCAAATATGTCGTGAATATCTCCTTCTTCCCTAACCCAAGATTGAAGAAAGAAGATCTAAGAGGGACCTATAGAGAATGTGGTCAGAAATCCATAATAGAGTCCGACCACAACGACCGAATTAATTATCACTGCGCCACATTGAAACGAGCTCTCTTGAGCACCACCAGCGAACCGCTTGCATTTCTTCCGCAACCCAAGATTAAAGAAAGACAGTATAGAGAATGAGCAAGAAGCATAATAGAGTCCGACCGTCATTAATTACGATGGCATTGAAACGAGCTCTCTTGAGCACCACCACTGAACCGTTGGCATTCTCTGTCAAGCCAGGGAAGAAGAAGGCAACGTCAAGTTTGTTCGGAGGCTGTCGTGCCAAGTTCGCCTGTGCCATCCTCGCCTCCATGACCTCCATCCTTCTCGGCTATGGTATGAACAAACACACTCACTTCACTTCGCCCGTGTTGCCTAGTAAGGCGACCTTTTTGTTTTGTTTAGCAGCCTGCTCGTTTTGGCTGGATTGACTTATAAGCCATGGGTTGAAAGTACTGCTGGCTGGTTTGGTGTGAGAGGAAAACACTATTCGTTGGCTGATAAACCAAGCCAGATACAGGCAGTTACTATAGGATGGCTTTTGCTTTTTGCATGGGCTCATGAGGTACGGCCGGACTTTGCAGATATCGGAGTGATGAGCGGTGCGTCGTAGTACATCAAGAAGGACCTGGGAATCACCGACGTGCAGCTGGAGATCCTGATGGGCATCCTCAACGTTTACTCGCTCATCGGCTCCTTCGCGGCGGGGCGGACGTCTGACTGGATCGGCCGCCGCTACACCATCGTGTTCACGGCGGTGATCTTCTTCGCCGGCGCCTTCCTCATGGGGAAACCGCCGTCCACTACGGGATGCTCATGTTCGGCCGCTTCGTCGCCGGGTTGGCATGGGCTCTGGCGCTCATGATCGCGCCCGTGTACACGGCTGAGGTGTCCCCCGCGTCAGCCAGCGGCTTCCTAACGTCCTTCCCGGAGGTGTTCATCAACTTCGGCATCCTTCTGGGCTACGTGTCCAACTACGCCTTCTCTCACCTCCTGCTCCGCCTCGACTGGCGCGTCATGCTCGGCATCGGCGCGGTGCCATCCATCGTGCTCGCCCTCATGGACACAAGCCAAATTTAAGGCTAAGGTTGCTACTGCATCTCAGTGCCAGATACGCCTTCTTCATCTTCAAATAATATCCGTTCAAATTCTGGCTCATCCAGTGAGAGATCAGCATGTTCAAGAATGCCAGCACCATGAAAGGTCTCATGATTGTCTGCCCCAACATCCCACATCTGAGTTGGACCCTTCATATAATCATCAGATTTCCTTGACAGCAGACGCATGTTGCTATGGACAAACACTAAATCCTCAACACGTGGAGGAGTAAGCCTATTCCTGGTTACGCTATCAATGAATCCATATGTACTCCAGTTCCTTTCACACGAAGAAGAAGATGCCGGCTGCCCAAGTAACTTCAGTGCTAATGATTTCAATTCTGGGGTCCTTTGACCATGGAGGCCCCACCATTGCTTTGGTTCGAAAAGAGCTTGATCTTCAATTGACTCACGGTCCGCAAAGCAACCTCCAAATAGAGAAAAATCAGCAAATTGCCATTTGATTGTCCTAAGATCCTCTGGATTGGGAAACATTTTTCTAAAGCACTTGTTCCTCATGTCAGAGACCTCAATATCTTCATGGGGGCTACACGGTTAGGAACTTCAGAAAGCCACCGTTGAGAATAGTACCTGCATAAAAGAAGGGCATGAATCAGTCCCAAAAGTGATAAAACATGAACCAAGTGACAGTAGCAAATTTACAATTGACAACAAAAATCACCTAGGGTTGAGAGAATGAGCCAAACAATGGAGAGGAGTATTGCTTTTAAGCCAACGATCATACAAAATGGCATAAATAGTGTCATAAAAGGCAGATTCTTCATCAGGTTGCTTTCTCTCATGGCGATAAATGCGATCTTTCACTTTCTCAATCATGTTATCCCACATCTCATAAATCATATGGAGACATGGCTTATCTGTGTCGGCTGCCCTTAGCATTGAATAAATAGGCTCAGTGAAATCAACAATGTATTTAACATTATCCCACCAAAAATCATCAAACAACTTATCTTTTACAGATCTTGCTTTGTCTACATCATCTTCCCTATATGTTGACCACTTGTCACCAACAACCATTAACACAAGAGACTCTTTGAGAACAAGGAACCTCTTCAACATAATAATATGTGATGCAAATCTTGTATCGACAATAGCAAGAAATTTGAGTTTACTAAACTCATTAAACATTGATAGGCGCATACCGTGGTTCATACATGAGCCCAGCATTTTCAGCATCATTGTCCTTTGCATCACAAATATTCTTCAGTGCCAAATTCAGAGTGTGGACAACACATGGAGTCCAAAAGATGTGGTCATACTTCTGTTCAATTATCAAACCGGCACCCTTGCAGTTTGCTGCATTATCTGTAATCACTTGGACCACATTCTTTGGTCCAACACTTTCAATCACAGAGATCAACTTCTCAGCAATGTATTCCTTTCTCTTAATCTCTCCTTTAGTGTTAACAGCTCCCAAAAACATAGGGCCAACTTCAGATACAGCTATAAAGTTGATGAGTGGGCGCCGCTGAGGATCAGTCCACCCATCAGCTGTAATAGTAATCTCTTTTGAAGGCCATGTAGTCTTGAATGGTTACAACAATCTCTCAACATTGACTCTCTCCTGCTGGAGAAGAGTAGTCCTCAACTTATTGTACCCAGGAGGTACATATCCACCCAAATCATTGTTTGCAAGATACATTATTAAAGCTCAAAAATTTGGGTTTCTTGCTAAATTGAATGGAACACCTGCAGATTACAAAGACTAGGAAAAAACATAGCAATCAGAAAAATGTTTTGAATCAAATTGATACTAAGATTCTTTCAATGAATCAAGTTCCATACCTAAAAAACTTTCTTCCAACGAGAGCATCAGCAATTTGGCGACGTTCATGGAAAAAGCTTTCGTCAATCCCTGATTGCCTCTTTCTTCTCTTTGACTGGGCATTTGTACCTCTAGAACGGGTAATCCTGTACTCCCTATCTGTATTGGCAGGGGAACACTCTTCGGTTTGCTGTTGGAGATCGCTACCTCAGCATCAGCCACTTTCTTGCGAAGTTGCTAAAGAATTGATACTGTCACCTATTTGCAAATGTGCACACCTTGGTTTGGTATCTTCAACAAATGTGCTCTGATTCTAGTATAGCTACCAGATATTTGTTTGCCGCAAAATTTGCACTTTAATACTGCATTTCCTCCATCAGGGCCATTGTTCTTGATCTTATTAACATGCCTCCAGAGAGGATATTTAGGATCACAGATCTCATTCACTTCAGGAACACTATCGCCATCACTTGCTACATTGACACTACTAGGTTCAAAGACATGCAACGGAGAACTTCCACTACCACTTGCCATCCCTAAACAACAACAATAAAAGAAATCTAGAGTTTCAAAGTTGAAATGCAGATTAGAGATCTAGAAGTTGAATGAATCGTTGACCTGAGGTGGCAACCTGTGGCCTGCGGGCATCGGCGGCTGCAACTGGGGCAGGCGGCGGCGGCGGCGGCAAGAGCGAGCGCCGGCGGTGGCGGCAGGAGCGGGCGGCATCGGCGACGGCGGCAGGAGCGGGCAGCCCGTCGTTCCTAGCTCGATGCGATGGTGGCGATGCTGTGAATGTGTGACTAGCAGGGTTTGAGGGCTGTCTAAATGGGCCACCAACATGGGCTGCAGAGATGATGGACTTCAATTTGAGGGGTTATGGGCTGCGAAGAATCGGACAAGTATCAGTCAAGTATCAACTAAGTATCGGGATTGAATTTATTTATTTTTATTGATGTATTTTCCTGATACTTCACCGATACTGTATCGGCGGCGTATCGGCATATCCGATACGTATCGCGATACCGGTACGGCAGTTCAGGGAAGTATCGGTGTAACGTAGGTGCTCGGCATGCCTGAGTCGCCCCGGTGGCTCGTCATGAAGGGCCGCCTGGCGGATGCCAAGGTCGTGCTGGGGAAGACCTCCGACACGCCAGAGGAGGCCGCGGAGAGGCTCGCCGACATCAAGGCCGCCGCCGGCATCCCCCCGGAGCTCAACGGCGACGTGGTCACCGTGCCCAAGAAACAGAACAACGACGAGGCGCGGGTGTGGAAGGAGCTCATACTGTCCCCGACCCCGGCCATGCGCCTGATCCTCCTGTCGGGCCTCGGCGTCCACTTCTTCCAGCAGGCGTCCGGCATCGACGCCGTGGTGCTCTACAGCCCGCGCGTGTTCAAGGCCGCGGGCATCACCAGCGACAACCAGCTCCTGGGCACCACCTGCGCGGTGGGCGTCACCAAGACGCTCTTCATCCTGGTGGCCACGTTCCTGCTCGACAGAGTCGGCCGGCGGCCGCTGCTCCTGAGCAGCGTGGGCGGCATGATCTTCTCGCTGGTCGGCCTCGCTGCCGGGCTCACCGTCATCGAGCACCACCCGGACGGCAAGATCCCATGGGCCATCGGCGTGGCCATCGCGTCCACCATGGCCTACGTGGCCTTCTTCTCCATCGGCCTCGGCCCCATCACGTGGGTGTACAGCTCGGAGGTCTTCCCGCTGCACGTGCGCGCGCTCGGCTGCGCGCTGGGCGTGGCGTCCAACCGCGTGACCAGCGGCGTGATCTCCATGACCTTCATCTCGCTGACCAAGGCCATCACCATCGGCGGCGCCTTCTTCCTCTACGCCGGCGTCGCGGTGCTCGCGTGGGTATTCTTCTTCACCTTCCTCCCGGAGACCCGCGGCCGGACGCTGGAGGCGATGAGCAAGCTGTTCGGCGCCACCGACGACGAGCTGGAACCCCAGGACGGGGCCACGAAAGACAAGAAGCTCGAAATGACCGCCACCAACTAATTTCAAAATAGAGGGTCTCGTTGAGGGGGTTCATGCCAAGAACTTGTGCAGTAGGCAGCTAGTTAGCTGCCATTGTTGCCATATGAGCTAGCTAGGCTGAAGTAACGTGGGAAGATTCGCTCGCTGGTCCGGTGCAGCTGGAGAGCGACGGCCAGCAAGCTCAGGCCGGCCAGCTCGTGGCTCTTAAAGCTTCTTAAATCATTTCTAAGTACATGCCCTGTGTTTCGTGCTTTGTTTTGTCCGTAAGATGGGTGAGCTAGCTAGCAAGTTGTTGCACGTGGTCGCTATGGCCGCCACCGCCAATGGCAGGTTGCCAGGGCCGCCGCGCCGGGTGTGTAGTTCTGCAAGGTGTCAGTCACGTTGGTTCGTCCTGTAATACCTACTAGTATTAAGCTGTGTAGTAGAGGGTGGTGCTGTTGCCTCGCTGCACGAGTCATGGAGGCTAGAAAATTGGTAGTGGTTCGAGGATTCCACTGAGTACTGAGGGAGCCAAGCAAACCATATGGAGAATGTGTAATAAGGAAACGATGTCTAGCAAGATTCCGGATGTCGCGCCGCCGCGGCCTCGAGTGCGTGCGCCTGTGCGTCCTCAGGAGCGTGTGCCTGAGGCCCCGTCACTGTCGGACACTGCTCCACACACCGCTGACGTATCTCCTTTGCAGCTGGCTTCCACGACGCCCATGCCGGTTGCTGTAGCGCTGACTTCTGCCTCGGGTGCCGAGGGCGTCTGCTGGCTGCTGGTACCGCCGAGCCCATCTCCTATGCTGATGCGTGCGCCCGAAGGCCCTGCGGCTGGCTTTGTGGGCCGCTTGCTCGCAGCCGACCTGCAGATACTCCGTGGGGGCCGCCGCATCCTGGCGTCCCCCTATCCGGTGGCCTCCGAGGACTGGTGGGCTCATTGCATCGAGGCCGAGTTCGTAGGTCCAACCCGTTCGTCCCACTCAACGTTAGGGGATGACGTGTCCGCGGGTACCCATGTGCCTGTGGCTTCGAATAATCATGTCCAGGCAGAGTTCGTCGGCCCATTCCGTCCGGCATGCACAACATACCAAGATGGCCCGGACCTTGCATGGACGACGCCAAGGCCTGATCACGCGAGGACGCCACCCAGGCCTTCTGCACCGACTACGGCCTCTCCACCCGAGCCTGGGCAACACGCGGCGGCCTCGGCGGCAGTGTCGGCGGCGGCGGTGCCGGCCCCAGCTACACCGCGGGAGATCTCAAGGTGCCTCCGGTCGCAGCTATGCTCCGGCATCACAGAGCCTATCATAGTTGAGTCCCCACGACTACGGGCCCCCAGGAGGAGCCGTGTGGTGGACACGCCGCTCTCACCGCCGCGTCGGAGCGGCAGGCTCGCGGCCAAGAGCAAATGCAGGGCACCTAACCCAACGGTGCAGGCACAGAATGTGTTGATGGCCAAGTGGGGACTACGCCCGCTGCAGCCGGCACAGACTGGAGCGAACGGCGATTTCGACGAGTACCTGGCCGTGTTCGGTGGGCCCCTCTCGGAGTCCAAGCGGGAAGTGATCAGGATGTTGTTCCCAGCCGGTTGTGCGATCGACGGCATCCATCTTGCCGAGGGGGTCGAGCATGAGGTCTAGGCAACCTCTGCATCCTTGTCGCCAAATGTTGTCGATGTCGAACGAAAACATCTTAGTCTGGAATGTCCGTGGCCTCAATGGTCGCGCACGGCGCAACGTCGTTAGGGACTTCATCGTCCAAGAGAGGGTCTCGCTTGTTTGCTTGCAGGAGACTAAGCTCTCCAATGTCTGCAACCAACTTGCTTCTGAATGCCTAGGAACATCATTTGAGTATGCCTTGATGCCTGCTGTGAATACCACCGGTGGAGTTCTCCTCGGCTGGAGGACGGACGCCTGGTCGGCGTCGCATGTGTCTCTGCAGTCACACTCGGTAACTGCCAAAATCGCCAGTCGCTATGATCCTAGGATGGCCTGGTGGATCACCGTCGTTTATGGGCTGCTGGATGCTAATGCCCAGCAGGCTTTTCTTAACGAGCTCGCGGCTCTCCGCTCCTCGTTGTTGGTCCCTGGCTCATCTGCGGGGACTTCAACATGATCTACTGCGCGATTGACGGCATACAGCTGGTGGAGGGGGTGGAACTTGAGGTTTAGCCTACCTCTGGGTATCCGCCCTAGGTCGCCCAATCGTTGCCCATGGCCTAGTTTACTAGCTCGCTGCCGCTCAGCCCGTTGCTGCTTTTAGTCCCTCTTGTGGTAAGCCGGGCTTCGTCGTAGTTTTCTTTAGTTTTTTCGCTTCTGTTTTTTTCTTTCTTCTCCTCGCCTAGGAAACCTTTGGTTACCTAGTGTTGAGTCGTTTGTTATTTGGTTTAGTGTTGTCTACTTCCTTTTAATGAAATACGTGCTACACGACACGTTCGAGAAAAATTTGTCGTTCTGCGATCATGCGGAGATTATTTATCCCTATCAAATGGTAACCGTTGGCTAACACAGCAAGTTGGGCTTAACCAACTACTCACGGGATTGGAATCTGGGGTGGTTCACAACACATACTAGAGCTTAATAAACTTCATGTACCTTGTCAGTGCTCCAGTGTCGAGAGACGAGCGAGAATCCAAATGTAAGTTGGTCAAGGAACCTGCTGGATTACAATACCGACGGGATTATCTTTCGTAGTTTAGTACTGTAAGTAACTAATAACATAATATATGTATCCTTAAATCCTATAATATGGCGTGGCATGTGGATGGGCCGTGTTAATTTTCGTGCCATGCGTGTGATGCGGGCCTGCTAGTCAACGGACGATTGCTGGAATGAGACCCAACGTTGGACCTATAGTCGTTTATGCAACTTTCTAATTTTAAAAAGTTATAATAAACTTATATGCACACAATTTGGGGTATTTTTTTTTTTGTGGGACAAAAGTTACAAGTAGGGCAACGGCTCCTAAAAAGACTCTCCGACTTCCAGGCCCAGCCCTGGGGGGTTCGAGCTGTGCCCACGCACAGGGCCCTTGAAGCCTAGGGGCCCAATCTCAAGCATGTAAGCTAGTTGGCAATACTCTGATCCAATAGGAAATATATATATGGCCCATAGGAAATATCAGGCGCGTAAGAAAGAGTCCGTCGATTCCCCTTCCGTCGCGCCGCTCTCCTTCGTGGTTTTATCGCGGCGCGCCTTCGCGTCTGCCATCCGGCATCACCGTCGCCGATCGGCCGTGCGCACTGGCTACTTCGCTTGCTCACTCCATAACTCCGTTCCCAGCCAAGCGAGTACGACACTACGACTATACGAGACGTCCTTGCGTCCAGACGTGTTAAGGTAAAGTGCCGTGCCCAATTGCCCCGGTTCCCTAAGCCCCTTTGTTGATTGTTTAATCAATGTTTAATTTGTCTAATTGCCTTTGCCCCCTGTCGTTATTCTTCAGAATATAAGACTCAGATCTAATTTGGGATTGGGGAATTCCTAACGGTGCAGGGCAGTGAATAATTATTATCCCTGTTCTCTACTTGTCTCTCGCTAAAAAAATACTTGGTAATTTACTAACACTTATTTTTATTTTACCGTTAAACTGAATCTAGTATTTCTAAATTTCCAGTGTACTCGTGTTGACAAAAGGCACGCATTTATATAGAAGTGAAAAAAGAAAAAATAGAGATGGATAGAATTTTTATGCATATTATTATAATTATAATGAAGGGCCCATCTCCCAAGCTTCGCTCCAGGTCTATAAATTGACACGACCAGGCCTGCCGACTTCTCATGTGGAGCAACTTCTCTGTTGGAGCTGAAACAGTTTTGTAAAACATTTGGTAGAAACAACTTATGTGGTGGTTTTGTAATAATTTGTGTAAGTTTGTGAGGAGCCAATAAAGACCACATTTTCATGGCTCCGGCTCCTCTATACAAAAACAGCTCCGGTTGATCCAGACCCCTTACAAGGAGCTATTTTTAGATGAATGTTTGGCAGAGCTCCTTGCACGGAGTCGAAGTTAGAGCCGAAGCCGGACCTAAAGGATAACTTTTCATGGGACAAACTTTAGCCTAATGATTTTTCATCATAACCTTTTCAATGCGAGTTACAACACATAACTTTTGCTAGCATACTTCAGCGTAACCTTTTCAATATAACTTTTGCGCACAGTCTTTCTAGACTTGACAACTTTTTAATATACAATGTTTCTAGAACAATTTTATAACAACTTATACATGTAAGTTTTGTTGTTAAACGTTTTTGAAAAACTTACACATAATTTATTCATCACATTTTTTATACATAAAAGTTTGTTTGTATCATACATAAGCAAGAGAGGTGAAATATAGAAGCAAAGAAAGAAAATAGAAAAAATCAAAACAAAAATGAGTAGGAAAAAAGGAACATGGCTACCTACCTACTTGCGAACGGGTTGCACAATCTTTATTTGGCGCATGTTGCCATCGTTACCAACACGCGAACACATGTCGACGTGTGATTGGATGACACAACACACGCTCATCTTCCTCGTGCGTGCATGTCTTCCTAGCGATGGTGGAGTTTGAAGTTCGGGTTTGTGGGGAGGGCGACAGGGAACACCAATGTCCTCCGAGCTTAGAAGGGGGCATGGGGCAGTGACAAGACTGGTGGTCATGGTGGTTCAGCCGACATTGAGTGAGACGGCAAAGGACATCGATCGGTGGAGTTGGCGGCGGGGGCGAGGGGTCCGCCTCTTCCTCCTCTCATTGAGATCAGGGGAGGGCAGAGCTCCACAAAAAGACCTATTTGGGTTTTGATAATTGAATGACAATTAGTGTACTAACATGTTTCATGTGAAATGAATGGTTAGGCTTAGTCTACAACCTAGAGTGAGCTACATGAAGCTATAAAGTGGAGATGGCAAGGACCAAATGTTACAAAGGCTCAACAAGTGAAGAGTGAAGACAGTGGATGCTAGCTGAGGCCAAAAATCTCTTTGAGGAGATGATGGAGAAGATCAAAGGATGAAAAACAAAGTGCAAGGCCAAGGTATAGCTATAGGACTTTGT